TCGCAAATCGAAATTGATGTTTCGGCTCGTGATCGAAGGATTGGAGTTCCGGAATTGTTCGGCTGAGTCGAAGGTTCGTGGGTATTTTTCGGAGAAATGTTCAATGTTCCTAGCATTAGTTCCTGACTGTATGTACACGCAGTGCGCGGTAGTTTCTTGCTGGTTCACCATGATACAAGCGAAACATAGATCACCGATTTCGTCTTTGGTTAAGGAAGGCTGTTCTGAGTTCGGTTTCCTCGAGAAGTTACAGACGCGCTAATCACTCGACCACCCGTTAGCGACGTCAAGCAACAGCCGTGTTCGAATCGGCCCCATGACCGACGCGCGATGAAGATCATGCTTCGGGCTGGGGGCATTCGCCCCTAGGAAGTGAGATGGCGCATCCGCAGACACCGTCGTGAGTCGAAAGTGCAGATGTGCAGATATGATATCGAAGTCTCGACAAGCACAACACTGTTCTCCTTCTCGGGTCGGTTCAGAACACCACCAGGGGAGTAAAGGGCCGCACAATAAATTGTCGCAGGGTAGAATTAGCGCATTGAGAGGAATACGAAGGTTCTTCTCTGAATTCAGGCACGTGCCAGCCGGAACTTCCGTTCGCTTGCTTCGCTGAGCGGGGATTATGACGTAGGTCTAAATCAAAAGATTTCCGCAAGGTCGAGACCGATGATCCCCCCTCTAAATTCCCAAGGGCCCAATCGACGCGTCGTGCCTCGTGCCAAAGCATCCGAAAATCGCTGCTGTCGCCATTTACCATCTTCGCACCGTTCGAATCTTTGGGGTATCCTGGTATCCTCAAAGAAAGATCGGATCAGCCTCGGAGTGACTCCGGTTAAAAATTATCCCCTCGATTATTGAGATTTCGTGGAAACGGTTCATAGATTTCAATTCGTCCGGCGTGGACATCTTTCCCATCTACGGCGGCTCCTCGATACACCCCAGACCCCGTACCCAAAATGTAATTCCTTCCTGGGCGTCTGTCTTTCTCCGAAGGCTCAGAGCAGTCCCACGTTTTTCGCCTTCCGGAGCGTCGGTTCCCCGTCGCATGTCGCATCCTAGAGACCGAAAGGAGCTTCCCGATGGTCGCCCTACGTACAACGTTCGAGGCCGAAATCGGCCAGCTCCCTCTGTTCAACGGAGGCAATTTCCCGAATCTCTGCAAAAGTAATGAGCGCCCGCAGCACGGGACGAGGATTTTTCGTCGACCGGTCGGGGTCGCGATCGCTGACGTTTCGACAGCACTTGTCTATTTCAGTGATCAGATCTCGGTCAGTTAGGGTTGGGATGCGCGTTCTAAAACAATGCAGGACTAGCGAAAAAATGAGCCAAGCCGCAGGCTCCGAAGAAAGTAAAGGTTGTCGGTGCATTCTCTTTCAACAGCTCGATGTCCGAGCGCCTGGAGGGTATCCCGGCACTCAGGCCAATCCTCAATCAGTCATGAATGAAACCCGATATCGAGCCATCGATAGCTGAGATCGCTCGCATTCTCTCGTCCCATTGAGAATCCGGAAGTCCATGAGCTCATTAATCGATTGATCTCCAGAAAATCAAAGCAAATCTTTCAGAATGTGGCGTACGTCGCTCATCGTACTGCTTGCTATACTGTTGAGAATAGGGAAACATATATTAGATAGCGATGCCTCCGAGTCACCCCGCGAGGACGCATCTTCAATCTCTGGAAGACCGCTCAAACATTCGCCTCGAACCACCTGTCATCGGGACGGAATCATCCGAAATGGATTGAGCCGTCTTCAGGAGACGCTAGCTAGAAGTCAGCTGATCTCGGATTCTCATATCTAACTACATCCGGGTCTCATTGGACCCCGGTTTGCGAAACAGTACGGAGTTGAGAATCAGAGCGGCTCCGCATACGCTGGCGCACGACCACAAGTGCCGACAAAGCGCTCGGCTCGTAAGAGCCCAGTGTTTAATTATAGTGTACGGGGGTGTGCTCATCAATCAAGTAGACGGGGGGGGGGGCGGGATCGGCGCCTCAAGATAGGCTTCCCTTTCCTATAGGCAATAGTATGAGAAACAACCTCTCAATCAATAAACACACTGTCTTGTGGAAACTCTACCCGAGTGCTTCTTCGATCCTTCACGAGTGTGGTCGCTGAGCTTCAGATTCGCAACGATTGCGGCGGCCGCCATGTCACTCCGTCCTGTTGGTTCTCAATGTGATACGAGAACCCATCCTTCGGCGGCAAATACCCATGAAGAATCTCGAAAGGTGCCTTGCCTGTGCTCTTCGCCGGCGATCGATTGATGTGACAGGCCACTTCTTGTAAATGTCCTCCCCCAATCCTCCTTCTCTGGGTGTCTGCATAGCGTCCTCAGTAGAGCAGTCACTGTGCGATTCATCCTCTCAGTCTGACCGTTTCCTTGCGGATGCTGCGTCGAGTTCGGAACGTGCTTGACTCCTTTACCCTGGAGGAACTCCCCGAGCTTCTTCGATGTTAAG